CACATTGGTCAAGAATATCGGTTTTTATCAATTTCTGCTTTGAAGTGCGGTCAACGGATTCATGCCTTAATAACCAACCAGTTTGTCAGTAACAATCTTCTCTGTGTTCTCTTTGCTTTCCCTATCGAGCTTCCACTATTTTTAAATATTCCATTAATCTTGCATCTTACGATATCAATTAATCAATTTCCCCGAATACGATTTATCGTTCGAATCTTCTTAAATATAAACTTTCCTAAATATAAATGAATAATAGAGATATTTCCGATTTGTGAGAATCTAATTTTACATCTTCTCTCTCTCTCTCTCTCTTTACTCCTGTAAGAAGAAGAACGTCCGACAGATTCAGATTTCATTAACATTCTCGTCTTAGGGACAACATTTCGCGGTGATTCCTGCGATCTTTGAATTTCGTGTGCGCCGCAGAGTTGGGGAAAGTTTGCAGAAAGTTTTGCGGTCGTCTCACGGCGAACCGGACTCCAGGAAAATTCGAGACACAGCAGGGTGACGGCTTAACGCTACTCCAAGTTTCACTTTAATCCGAAAAGCCGCGGTAGGCCGGTGGAATTGATTTCGAGACACTCGCGGTACCACCTAGTTATGCCTATTAAACGCGTCTCTTGTTACGCAAACAGCGAACGTGAAATTAACCGAACGTTCTGGATTCTATCCAAGACCAATTTTCATTTTCATCGAATCACGAAGAATATGAGATTGATTGATTGCACTTACTTGAACTCGACTCTCCGTGAGGCCAAGTTTCCCAGCGATCTCCTCCCTGAGGAAGATGTCAGGGTAGTGCGTTCGACTGAAATGCCTCTCGAGCTCGCTCAGCTGACCCAGTGAGAATTTCGTTCGGTGCCGTTTCTGTTTGACAGGCTTGACGTCGCCTTGTTCGATCACGCCAGAGTTCCCTACAGAGGAGAACGAATAATTTTTCAATCTTCTCGTAAGTAACTACAAGATCTGTTATAGCTAGTAAGATTTCACTGAAATGTTAAAGGTTTTTCCTCTATTTTCATCCGTTTAACAAAAAATTCGTATTCTCTTTTCAAATTTAGCTTCTCCATTTCCTCTCCCCCTCTCCGTCATTGACAGCAACGATTCCAATACAACTTTCTACTCTCCCTTTTTCTCTCCCTCCCTCCCTCTCTCTCTCTCTCTCTGTCAAGTGCAGCGAGGAGCGCGAGCGTTTGAACGAAATTTAGAAATTTATCGTGCATCGAAACGGTATCAGAGAGCTCGGCTTGGCGGAGAAATACGGGGAGGGCGGAGGGGAGGTCGTAGAAAAACGGGAGCATTGGAACACGATAAAACGCTTACCCGTGCCAGACATGGTCATGAGTACTTCCTGGTGTATCGTGAGGCCACCGCCGGAAGGCAATCCGGTCCCCAAATTCACTCCGAGAACGCCGTCCAACTTCTCGTTCCTCTTCAGGTCCTGCACATGAAGATCCTTCGCTCCTGCGAATGCGACACGCGCGAAAAAAAAAAAAGAAATACCAGCCATTACAGATTTTCTGTGTTAACCCCGCGGCGGCGGCGGTGACCACGGGCCCCTCTTCCATGCTCACTCCCCTTTTCTGCTCTATGTAGTTTAAATTTGTATAGGAGCAGAAGCTGACCGGCCGGTGGTGAGGGGAGTACGGACCACTTAGCACAAAGGTGCGAGAATCGTCACCGGCCTCCGGCTTCTAGGCGAGCAAACACACACATAACCGGGTACCGCAGTGTGTGTACAGTCCACGGACAGACACACGTGTTCACGCAAGCGAGAATATACGGTACAGCGGGTACGTGGTCGTAGAAAATTTCTAGAATGCGTGGGAGGTGTACACCGGCTGAAGAACGCCCGCGCGGCGGAGCCCGTGATCGCAAGCCGCCATCGCGCGCGACATTGTGCTTTGTCAAAGCCGATTACGTAAGCGTCCGAAACTAGCAAGTACCAGCCTCCTTTCAGACGATCTCACACGATTTTTCAATGGTACCGGAGAACGGTTCGAGCAGGTAGCGACGTGGAGGAGAATCACGCGTACCGGAAGTTGAGGATTCTCCGAGTGAAACAGGTTGAGCATGGATCAGACGTAATTATTCGGGGAAAATTCGGGGATCGAGAAAGGGAGATAGGTAGTTTTGAACGATGTCAGGGAACTTGGGACCGGAAGAGGGTTCACCTAAGTGGTCCAAGTTCAGAGGTAAGCATAAATATGGAAGAAAGGATAGAAGAAGACGTTGAATTTTACAATGGAGAAGGCTAAGAATGAAGCGACATGAACGGATTTAGCGAGGTAAACTTGTTGATCGAGGAACGGTGAAAGAGTTATCGAGACTGCGGTTACTTCTACAGGAAGTTATACGTTAATTTTGCTTCTTCTCTTGCCGATTTCGAAGAGACAGTATCGAAAAATACTCGAAAATATTCGTTCTACGATTTTGAATATCGAGGAACGATAGTTGCCGCATAAAGTTCATTGCTACAATCAGTGCTACATTTCTCACGATTTCACTATGGCCGTTAATTATGCCTTGTAGCGGTGCAGCTAGCGTTATGAAGTCACACGCGTTGCAACGAAAACGATAATATAGTAAGCAAGGAATTTTATTGGTTTCATAAACACGCTTGGCCGGGGGCCGGCAGTTTTGCATCGATATTTTATAATCCAGCCTACTAATAGTGATTCATTCCGGGGAGTCTGGTCGAATACTCGCGTGCGCTTATCCAAAATGCTTAATACGACCGCACACGCATAATAACGGTAATAGTCTGGAATTTGAACCCTGCCACGGAAACATCGCGGGAAATGGTTGGAAAATTTTCGACGACCACGCGGAATTTTCCCAAGTTGTGCAAATTTTCTCCAGTGGGAAAATCCGTTTCTATCGGGCCCCATATTTGACGCACCCTGTATACACGTTGATATAATTTACATATTTGATTAACATCCGTGAGATCGTTTCGAGAACCTTCGAAAGTTTCTTCCTCCTCGTCCCGACTATTTTTCTACCGTTCTGAAATCGTCAAATTGTACTCGACGTCTCGTTTCGATCCTGTTCTTTTTTTAAATCCCTTTGCGAATCGAGCTACTTTGAGCAAGCTAGAGATAACGCTCTTCAAAATAGATAGAGGAAAGGGGGAAAAAAGGACGAAAGAAACCGATGGAAAATTCGATTTGAGGCACTCGAATGTCAGACGACTGTCAGCAAAAACGGCGCAAGCATGATCGACAAGTGTGAATAATGGACGATCGGTTGGTAGAAAAAGAAAGAAAAAAACGAGCTTGAAGCGATTAGCGAAACGAAAGGATCATAAAAAAGGCGAGAGAGAGGTCTGGACCGAGTGTCGAAGAGGAGCGTTGGTCTCGAAGAAAGGACACTGATGCCGGTCGACCACCAGCGTGCAGCAACCGTTTACTCAATGGAAAGTCCGTATGAATGAACTTTATGACTGGTCTTTATTTTTCGTTTTATTTTTATGGGTCTTGATGATTTTATTTCGATTTTACTCTCGGCGAGAGCCGCTATTTATGAGCAAGCCCTCACCTCGAAATTCGGTGGGTTCCTTTGATCTCTTCATCGTGGTTTTTTGTTTCTGCGAAAAAAGAGCGGTGTAGAGAAGAGAGAGGAGTAGCAGGGGAAAAACACACACGCACACGCGCGTGCACACAGGTGAGAAAGGGAGAACGATGATGATACGGGATTCTTCCATGAATTTTCCAACAATTTTTGGCTCGCAACTGTGAGAGCCTCGACTAAAAAAGAGAGCGCGGCCCGTTCAATTGAATTGTCACTATGTGATCCGCGCCATGGCCCGTGTAATTTAATTCGTCTCGATCAAGATCAATTTGAATCGACGCGAAACGAAAAAAAAAAGAGGCGTATATATATATATTTTACAGAAAGAACAGAACGATATGTGGAGCGAAAGTTTGCGAGTCCTTTGACGTGCAGCCGTGAGTGAACGCATACCTATACCTGTGCGTTTTGATTTCTCTGAACGTTTCAAAAAGGTATCATAAAAGAGAGGAAAAGAGTTGGGATAAATAAATATCAAGTTTATACCAGAGGTCGTGAGAATTGAATTCGCGCTTAATTGCACGACGAGGCTCGATAAAAATTTGCAAACAGGGATATGATTAGTGCGATACGCGCCGCGCACCGCCGAGGATTAGTGCTCTGCGACTTTTTGTTTGCCTCGCGACCGTTCGCCTCTCATTAACGCCCAACAATCATTGTTTAATCCTATTCCAGCTGATCGGATTATCGGATTATTTAATCGAATTAAAAGGACGCTCCTTAAGACAGAGAATTCTCTTTACATTTAATTATTTCTTCCTTCGTTTCATCTTCCTTCTTGTAGTTTCTTTTTCACCGGGATCAATAGGAACACAAACGTATCGCGATTCAATGTTACATCGACATTCAAACGAGATTCTGCGTGCATTGACGGCCGTTTAAAAAGCCCATGATCGACAGCCTCCCGCTTGAAAACGTCTGATTAATAAATTCATAAATCACATTACCGAATCCGGAAACGGCGATGACGGACGCGTTCGTTCCGACGACGTCGACGAATCGCCTGCCGATGCATTGTCTCGGTGCATCGACGTTGCATCGAATGTAATTAACCGAGCTCGCGAAATGATTTCATCGGTACGATGCTTCTTCGTTGCAATATGAAAAATATTGAAAAAAGTGTTACAAACCCGATTCGATAATTTACCCAGGGAAAAAAGAGTAGTCAGAGTCGATAATCGCGGAGACCGTACATGATCGCTAAGAAAAATCATGCGATATTTGCAACGGAAAAGAGATTGAACGTGTCGAAAAGTGAGTCGAATAGAGAATAAGTTGTTCGGTGAAAAATCGAGGGTTTAATCGTTCTTTAATCGGGCCAGCATGCCGCGCTTTTCCTCGGTTTCTATCACTAGTCCCAACTCTAAATCGTTCCTTAACTTCCCGCCTAATGTAATCAGTGTTGAGGTAATTAAGGTCATCAAACTCGAGAAGCGGTTTCCTTGGGCGGGAGAGAAGCGAACAGGCGTTCGCCACGTGTTATCGGACCAAAGGGGGAGTGTTCTTTTTATCCTTTCGACCAACTTTTCCGTTTTGTCTGGCGTGTGTGCCCCGCGACTTTCCACGGTGGAAACCGTGTGACCGTGGTACACGAGCCACGCGACGTATAATTTCTGCATGATCAGCGATGGAAATGAATGGAAATGGCCATTCTGTCCTATGAATGTCTTCCACGACTTCGTATTATTCTTTCATGCCTCGTGAAAAGTATAAACATTGACCGATGCTCGGATGATTGAACGTAGTTGAATGGATTGTGAAATGTGCATTTAATTAGCATTCTTTAACTTTAGGTTCAGGTTCGGTGTATTTGCAATTCAACGGAGAAAATTTCAACGTGTCTTGAATGGATACCGAGTCGCGGAACATTATGGCACATTTTCTTGCAGCAAGATTTCAGTAGAATGAGACGAGTAACCGCGACTGGAAATTTCGTAGGAAAGGGAATGTCGGATTAATTGTGCAGTGTCGGTTGGTTTTTAACGAAGATTATCGCCTGATTCTTGAAATTCTAATAAAGTTTATGGAAGAACGCGCGCCGACGGAGAAAGCTTTCTCGTTGCGCAGCTTGAAATATCGCGGTAAAAATAAATAATGAAATGAATAATATTATCGTTTGCCAAGTTGTCCAATATTCGATGATTTATTAAGTAAGTTAAAGTAAAGAATAAAATATAGTTGATAAGTGTAATTGCTTAATTGTGTCGGTGCATGCTTGTTGCTATCAAAAGCTCGAAATTGCTCGTTTTCTAACAGATTTTTTAGCGTTTGTATTATATGAATTGTTCTTTCATAATTAACTACTCTTTAAATGCAAAATGGCCGTATTATTTGTGACACTTCCACGCTTCCGGCTAATGTTGCTCTTTCAACGTTAATAAAAGAAATATACATAATAGAAATATACATAATAGATAGAAATATACATAATAATCGTATATTATAAAGATTTAACGCTTATGATTTTTCAATTTTGAATAGCACGCGTGCAGAATTGTAGTCTTTCACTTGGAAAGTAGAAAATATTACTTCAGAACAAGTGAAAATTTTTCTATAGGAATGTAAATTTAGTTAAACATTTTTTTTGAAGGAATTAGCAATTGAGTACAGTGCAAAATTATCTGAATTACCGATATAGTTAAAAATATAAATTTCTAAGGAAGTTTGTCGTTCACCGTCGCTACATTCTCGACCAACCAGACAATTAGCATACTCGACAACAAAAACATATCATTCTTTAGCCTGGAAGTAACTTTTAAAGACAAAGCTCAACGGTAATTTTAAGCAACGCACGAAAGAATTCACAATCCAAGTGAAAACTCGACATCCTCCAATCGGGATTCAGTATTCAATTACCAATCGTACCCGCAAAATTGAAACTACCACCTTCCTAATAATTCATACGTCAGTAGAATCAGACGACGTCCAACCGCCAGCTTCGATCTCCCACAGCACAAACTCTTCTCGTCCACTTTGCACAACGAAACCACAGGACAACGAACGTAAAGAACCATACAAAATGACCCTCGAACATCCCTATTCAAGATTGTCCAGAGGAACGAACGAAAATGAAGAAACTTCACGTGAGAAACCTCGACGAATCCTACACCTGCCGATGCAGACAAGCGAAAATTGCTCGAAAATTGTTCGAAACAAAGAAACACCAGATATCCTTTTGATAGACGTGAAAGCTTGATCACACTTTTCTGCCGCTACTTACCGGAAATACCGTGTATGGAACCGGCGGCGGGGATGTTGTTGAGCATGCCGTTTCCGGGGAGTGAAACTCCCGACACAGATAGTACTCGATTCCCGAAAATGATGCGTGTCACCGCGAACCACCCTTGAAGAAAATGACCTGCTACGTGCCACCAGATGTGTTATCCACGAGAAGGATGCTGTGAAATTTGTTCTTTTCGCCCGTGAAGATGAAACACGACAAGTTTGCGTTGTATGAACCGACGAAGACGTGTAACCGAGGAACGGCCCGTGCCCCAGCAAGGCAAACAGCGGACTGCCTAGCTGCCATATCCGAGCTCCCCCACCGCTCTGGACCGCCACGAATCTCCCTTTCTCTCTGCCGCTTGAAACACCCTCCTACACGTCCTCTTCTTCTCCCCTATTGCTCGCGCCAGCCCGCTCTCACTTCTGTGCCCGGCTTGTGGGCGTGATATTAAATCGCTGCCTTGCTTCAGACTCGCCGCTCTTGTCAGGAACGTAGCTAGGTGAACAGGGAGCCTGAAAACGATACCTGGTAGAAAGAGACCACTTGGTCTCCTCCGTGAACATCTCCCAGGTAGCTGCAAGTTGAAAATAGTTGAAGTAGTGAATTCGGAGAAACTGAAGCTGTTCAATTAGAGAAATGATATTGGACAGATATATAGGAAAGATGTCGGTATTTACGACGCAGTTGGAAGTACAATGGAAATATGAAGGATCGTTCTTGATGGGTTTATCGGTGGACAGATAAAAGATGAAATGCGTGAAAGTCTACGGAAAGTACCCTCCAGCTTCATAAAGCCCGATAGAAGGGATGAGTGAAGCGGGCCGATAAAATCGGCGTACTTCCGGTAGCACTTTACGGAGCCCAGGCTCCAGCAACTGGAGAACCGATAAAGATGGACCGTTGAAGAAGAAGGAATAAAATACCAGAAAAGATGAAGAAGAATCTGTCAGGAGAGAGAGAGAGAGAGAGAGAGAGAGGAAGAAATGGAGTGAAAGAAAGAAAGAGGGCTGTTCTCAGGAGTGGAGCGGTTGAAGAGGGGGATGAAGATGAAAGAAAGGAAAAGAAGAAAGAAGGAAAAAAAGAAGAAAAAGAGAAAGAAAAAGTACGAGGAAAAAAACCGGCGGAAAGAAATCGAGAAGCGGTAGTGGCAGAGTTTTGTTCGCGGAGTACGGTGGTTGGCGGGGCTGTCCATATCCCGAGGTAAACTCTATCCAGGTTACTGTAGTCTAGCTGTCTCTGTTTTGCGGTAGGCGGTAACCGCCACGGACGCAGCTCCAATGAGCGAGTAGCCCGCCCTCTGGATGCCCCACTAGCTTACCCCCTGCCGGAGATTTATTGAAATTTTATTTTTATGGCCGGTGAGCACGGCGTCCGGTGGATGCAGGGGGTTGCAGGGTGTGCGCGTCGAGGCCAGACGTTTGGGGCGAAGGAGAGAAGAGAATTCCTTCTCGTTTCCTCCAACTTTTTTTCCACGTTTCCCTCTGTCCTCGTTCCGCAACAACGACACACAGAGAGCCAACCCTCTCCAACCACGAGCATCCCTTTCTCCTTCCCTCTCTCACTCTTTCTCTCTCTCTCTCTCTCTCTCTCTCTATTCCCACCGTGATGCTTTCTCCCTCTTTCAACCTGGACTATATACCTACGGTGCCGCGCGTAGCCCGGTCGCTTTATTCGCTACGTCCTTTTAATTCAATAGCTACCATTTTTATAAGGTGGCGGGCGTCGAGCGAAGACGGAAGTCGGCCGTGCCGCTTCCAACGTCAGATATGCCCAGCAAACAAACTTCTACCTTTACCTATTGACGCCAGCCTCCTCTCTCTCTCTCTCCTCTTTCACGATTTCCACGACTCGTGGGTGTGTAGAACGCGCCCGTTCGAAGGGAAATATTTATCGTAACGATTTGGGAATTGTTGCAGTAGGAGTCTGGAAACTAGGTGAAACGCCTGTGACCGTTATTTTAGCGACATTTTCAGAGAGTGTCGTCGAGGGTTGTAGAGTTGCGAGCATGTTAAAAGGAAGTATTATAGATTGACGGTGTACGCGTGTGTCCCGTAGCATTGTAGTCTGGTGTTACTACGTCGTCGCGTGTTTGACTTGTTATTGATTAGCATCCTCACGCATCTTCCTGGTACGGTGTAACTTGGTGCTTTACGATCTATGTGTTCTTGTGAATGAATTACCACTGTGCTCTGCGGTATTACGAATTTCTTTGCTTCGGGAATATCATTTTTATCGTGGAATTTCGTTGCCATTTCAACACTCGCAGTTTTTAACGTTTCAAAAAGAGACAATAGGAAATCACCGTAACGATTTTAATACCTGCTGATTAATACTGGATGGGACACAATGAGAGATCGATTGCGATCAAATAAAATTGCAAATCCAAATTAAAATTCGTTTTTATCCACGTCGTATCAGAGGAGCTCCGTTTCTTTATCTTGTTAATTATTAAAACATATTCAATTGCGCCCCGTTCGACGAACGTGCACGCTGAAGAGAACGGTGGGGAAAAAAGAGTGTCGAAACGCTTTATTCGCCAAACGTCGAAACGCAAAATTCATGCTTGTCGAGCGTCCCGGCGTGCATCACCGGGACCGGTTATTTCAGCGTAGAAATAAGTTCGTAATAAACGTTGAAATACTACGTGTCGACAAATAACCGAAATTCGTTTTTGTCGCAACAGCGATGCAGTTAATCGTTGTTGCTTTTGTTGCGAATCTCTCTCTCTCTCTCGCTTGCGACTTACGAACAGGAGCACGGGTGCGTTTAATTCTCGGAAAACAGTTGACAGTCGGCTCCGATGGGAAACATCGAAGGAAAATTGCGATCTCTTGAAGTGGTAGATATTCTGGAAACACGCGTAGATACCAAGAAGCGATATTACTTGGAGGAGTAAGTAGAGGTGGATGTCAAAGAAATTTAATAAACACGACGGAGACGCTTCGTCGGTCGACTTGGTTCGGCATTCTTGTATTAATATGAAAATAATTTACAGCGCGAAGTTAATATCTGAGACGTCGTTCCCATCAAAGCGATACTTCTAGGAAATTAAACTGTAAAATTAGCCTGGTTGTTTCATTCTTCGAACCCTTTTTCCACCGTCTACCTTACTTCTCCCAATTCTATTTAGTTCCATATCTTCGCTAAATCGTTTAATTCTCTAGTTTAAACGATCGATTTTTTCGTGCCGGTTCTCGTTCACGTGAACTCTCCTCCTGTCGTACCTTTAAAACAAACGCAGCTCGCAAAGTAATACAAACGAAAACATTCTGGTCGACATATGCAAATAAATCGGTAATCGTATTAAGGATAATTAACTTGGTCGGGCCATAGTATTCGATCACCGTTCGAGCGGCAACGGTGAGAAATTTTCGCAAAGCGTGTCGCACGGACAATATCAGCGTGCAAGCGAGCGAACGAACGAACGAACAAACGAACGCTGACGGTTCATGGAAAATGGTGTAACCAGCGGTTTCGCTCGGTTCCTATGCTTCCAAAAATACGCTAGAATTCTCTGGTTTAATGAAACAGACATAACTGGGGAATGCGTGGCTCGATTCGCGCGCGCACCACAGGAATCCTCGCGCGCCGCGATGCAAATCGTATATTTCAAATATTCCCAGTTTTTATCTCCAAGTCTACAGGCTGCATCCACTTCTCCACGGCCAGTTGATTACCGTTTCATTATCGTTACGACTCGTTCGACCGAGTTCGATGCACTTTTCCCACTAGAACTGACTCCAAAGATGAATAAACCAAAGAAGAAACTCCGATAATGGCGCGATCGGTTAATTAAGATTGTCGATTCTTCTTTAGGCAAGGTGTTCTTTAAACGAATTTTAGATACGACTGAACGTAATGAAAAATTCGAACGTTTGTTCCATCGATCGATTCGGTCCAGACGTTTACCTCTTCGCATTCGAAAATAACGTTCAAGTAGAAGTGCAGATTTTTTTCCCGTTCTTTCTGTGTCTATCTTTCCCTTGTTTTCTTTTTTTTTTTTTTTTTTGGTTTTTCAAATGACGTTAGAGGAGATGAATGGCAACCAGCGACAACGAAACACTTGGGCGGCGGATACACGCAGAGGCATATGTGCCTGTACGCGATCGATTTTAAACAGGCGAGACGAGCAGCGGCAAATTGACAATGTGTCGAATGCAGACAACCGATGCCTCTGGCTAAAACTACCCTTCCGTGCTGCGAGACCGAGGTCCGTTTTAGGTGTAACGCAGCTCGCGTTTTACGGAAGGCCTCGTCACGGATCCTTCACGTTTCACGTTATTTCTGAACGCTACCAATAGTACAAACCTAACGAACTTAACGAGATAACGTACCTTTATTCGAACTCAAACATACCAAAAAATTCGCTTATGAAAAAAAAAGGAGAGAGAAAAAAAATAATATATGAAAAAGTGGAGCAAAATTTCCACAGAAACGAACCGCGCGGTTCTTTGAAGTTCCCTCTAAAACAATTCCCCGGACAGCGAAACGTCAACCAACAGCGGCGCAAGATGAAAATTAGAAGAAAAAGAAAGAACGAAAAAGGAAAGATTCCATTGTTCCCGGTAAGTGGATTCGTTTCGTTCTCCGGCCAGTTAATTTTTCCATCGTAGGACGCGTATAGTTTCGTCCTCCGAATATTCGACGAATCAGAGGGCTGATGCTCAGGCTCACCCTCCTGGGCCTGTGCACGCCGCCGGCAGAAGTAATACCACTTTCGCGACGCACCGTGTGCTCCGCCTGTTCGAATTGGAACAACGTGCACGGGCAACAGGCGACACACAGGTAGACAGGAATTTCTGATATTACATACCAGAAGCCGGAATGCCCCCATAACAATCCCGAGGGAGTGTACGAGGTTCTCCACATACGCCAGACATATTCCGCGTCTAGCACGCCTCCCCGGTTCTCTCGTCAGTGTCTCCTGTTCGCTACAAATAGGGAACTGTTCCGCGTCCATCTCTTCCTCTTTATCCTCCCTCTGTACAATCCCCCACCTCACCTCCGCCCTCTTCAACGTTACCTCCGTTGCGCCCCCGTTCTCCACCCTCTTC